TTATAGACAGCTGTGAGCTGTCGAATCGGAACGAGATTCTAAGCTAGAATCTCGCCCAAACACGGCCTTTGCGTTCGAGTTGGTTGAACTTCCGAATGTAGAGTTCACCCCTGTGTTTCAATTCTCAAGCGCAGAGTTCACTTATGCGTTTTTTTTTAACGCCACAAAAGGAATATCTCGACGGCCAAGGCTATGACATAGCTTCAAATAAATAAGGAGAAGCTAACATTGGCCATCAAGGTGACCAAAGCCGAGAAGAAACTGCCTGATGACAAACAACTTTGCAGCCTCTTAGACAAGTACAAATAAGTTACAGTTAATGATATTGAAATCATCAAGCTTGATCATCGCGCAACTCATTCTTCTAAATGGCTTAACATTCCAACAAAGATTAATAAAGCCAAAAGGTGCTCAACCTCACTAAAGGAGACCTTGTTAACAAGTTTGTGGTTGTGCGTCAAGTATTCATTAATACTTACAAGAATTTTCGGGACAACAGAATACACATCATCGTAGGTTGAGTGGAGTATCTCAAGGATCCAGACAAAATCTATTGAATACACCTCTTCGCAAATTGAATGGAGTATCTCAAGGACCCAGAAAAGTTCGTTATCATCATCATTCTTGGTCCACGATGTCTTCGAATCAGACGGAGTGAACAATCAATCAACAAAATTTCGGGATCCAAAGTATTCCAAAAATTCGTCTCAGTCAACCGCGAACTTTTAAAAATTTTGGAGGGGGTTCTGTAGGTTGTCTAAAAATCATAATAGATAGTTGATTCCCATCAAGCTTCGATGATGGGAGTTACAATCTGACGACTTCTACATCAACATCTCAACAATGAAAGTTACAATCAGACGATTTTTATGTTGACAAATGAAAGCTACAATTGGAGGATTTTCATGAAGATCTAGGAAGGTTACAATTCGACGACCTTTAGATGACAGATGAAAGCTCTGATTCAATAGCCTTCACAATCAACTATGAGAGTTACAATCAGACGGCTCGCACCCCAAATGGCTAAGGCAAAGATTGCAGAACAACAATCCTTGTAGACGCTTTAATAGAAGAAGTTACAAATCAAACAACTACTTCTAAGAAATGTGGAGGTCATCCTCGCGCGTTCATGATTTCAGAACACAGGTGACCCCTGTGTTCATTTTCGACAGAAGCCGAACTCCGCGTCTCAGTTCTAAGACACGGAGTTAAGGCCCAGAACGCCAAACTGGGCGTTTTCTGACTCATTCAACGTGAGCCGAACGGTTTCAAAATCATTTTCCCCATGATTTGAGGGAATCTCGCTCACTTAGGAGCAGATTAAGGGGTCAGTTACACCCCTTAATCCCCTATAAATAATCACCATACTCAACAGAGTAAAGGGTTTAGTTTTTGGATAAAAAAAAGGATTTTTTTGAGGCAGTTCGAGGAGGATCTTTTTGGATCAGATCATCCAAGAGATCTTGAGGCAGCTATCTTCAACAACAGAAAATCTACTTGGCTTATTAATCGATTATTCGATTCAAACAACTCTTTTCACGGAGTTTAAACTCATTCTGAGTTACTAAACTCGCTAAGAGTTCTTAATCAAACTTGCCACGCAAGTCAGTCGTTCCAAGAAGATAAGACGTGTGGATCGTCAACGGAGAGCAAATTCGACGCGAGCATTCGAATGAGTCACTCCATCGCTACCGTGAAGAACCCAGAATTAAACAAATGGGATAATTCAGATCAATTCTCCTCTCTTTTGTAAACGGGAATTCGAATTGTAATTGAGATTGAGAGAATGCAAATCAAATATATTTGTTTCAATTTTTTCTTGCTACTACAAATTTTCCACCAAACAGTCCCTCTTTCAAGCAACGGTACTAATTTAACTTCGCAAATGGAATTAGTGACATGTAGTATGTATTATTTATTTTGCAACATTAATGAGCTCAATTCCATAAACTATAGAGAAGTTGTTCATTAGACAATGGTAGAACTCATGTAAAGATGGGTTTAGACTTCAAAAGTCTCCGATATTGTTTTACCCTGGGACTTAAAATGAACCGAATACGAATCGAATATGGGGATATTTGTATTTGTATTTGATTAAATTTTTCAGATTCAAATAAGAATTTGAATATAGTTATCTAATTTTCTTCAAATTTGAATACCAGTATTTGCCGAATATTCACAATCCAATATTGAAGTATATTAATTTGTTCGCTTAATACTTTATATCTTATGAATACTAAACAATTTAATTAAATAGATACTCTTATTTGATAAACAGCATTTTCATTGTTCTAAGAATTTGATATATTAGATAACAATTAAATTCATATATAATTGAAAATCAATCCTTCATATCTATGATATCTAAATATGTAATGTGAATATTTGGTTCAAGAAAAAGAATTTGGGACTTGTTAAGCCTCTTAAAATTAGTATTCAACTGAAGTAAAAAAAATATAGGTGGGTCAAGACCATAACATCATGAGTAAACTATTTTTTACTGAATATTTTATTAAACAAATGAATCGAATATACCTATGGTTAAATTCTATTTGCTTATGAACCGAATACTAAAAACAATTCGTTTATTGTAAAATGAACAACCGAATCGAATATGAGCAAATACATTAAGCAAATAAATACCGAAGTATTTGTTTAATACTTGGTTTGTTGTCACCCCTAGTTTTACATGCATTATCATTAATTGTATTTCCAAATACTTGTATTGTTTACCATTGACAATGATAGAATATATAAATGTATTTTCTTTTTTTTTTCTATAACTTTAAAGTTTTGATACAATCCAATCTTTAGACTCGGCCACTTCTCTAACTATCATGAATTATCTTATGTTTTTATCTGTAAGAACTTGTTTCTATAAAGTGAATCAACAAAGCTAGAAAGAAAGTTTGAAGACAACTTCTCTTTAAATCCCTATCTAAACATGAAAAGATGAGCCTTGTGTTTGTGTTAATTAGAACTAAACCAAGAATAGTTCTACATTTCAAAACAGATCAACCTTGTCCCCACTGTGTTTGTGTTAATTAGAACTAAACCAAGAATAGTTCTACATTTCAAAACAGATCAACCTTGTCCCCACCACTGATAACATGACATAAAGACAACCAAGAATAGTTCTACATTTCAAAACAGATCAACCTTGTCCCCACCACTGATAACATGACATAAAGACAATAAGCAGGTGAAGGGCTTGACCTATAAAAGACAACTAACTTACCTACCTTCAAAGAATATAATGCTACCTTCCAACCTAAAGCTTCATATTGTTGCATCATTTGTGTGCTATAATGGAAATGCCCATTGGAATGAGTTTCTGTGATGTCAACTCTTTGCTTATTTGAACATGCAAAGCTTTGAGATTTTATATTTATCTGAATGGAATCAAAGAGTGTTTTATAACTATATATCCAAGCATATATGGATCATAGATAATTAACCGTATGTTAATATAACGTGTTCGACTAATCAACGTGAACACCAACCTCAACTGATTTAGGAGACTACTAAAGTTTTCCTATAATTAGGATGCAGGATGAACAGAAGTTGGCATGTTGATGTACTTCAATCTCTAGTGATATAGGAGGTTAATAATAAGGAAAATGACTTAAGGACCCAAAATATGAGACCAATGGAGGGGACAGGTGAGGTGTCTCCTCCCTATTGCATAATGAGTTGGCTATGCCAACTCATTGTGCAATAGGGAGGGGACACATCACGTGTCCCCTCCCTTGATCCTATATTTTGGGTCCCCGTAGCAACACTCTAATAATAATATAATAAGGTTCTTTTTTCTAGTTACTTTTTTCTTGAAGGGGACGAGGTTTTAACTTTGCTTACCGCGGTGAAACTCTCTAAAGGTGAATCTAATTATCTAAATGTGCACGCGATAAAAGGTATTAGGTGTTCCTTTTACCATTAGGTGATAGATAATTACCTTGGAATATGTGCTTATGGCAGGATTAGTAAATTCGGATTAGACCATGTTTGGATTAACTAGCCTACTCAAAACACGTCACCTAAATACTAATCTTTGATCAGTTTTTTATTATGATTAAAGCGGTTTAAGATTTTGTGCTAAACACTGTGCTAATGTTAAGTGTGTAACATAGACGTTATAGAAAAAGGGTAAATTACGCTAAATCTCCAAGACTTTCAGCATTTTGTAGTGAACCCGCCAAAAACTTTAAAAATCGCAATAAGCACCCGATAACTTTTACAGAAAGCCCCCAATATCTTTTGGGACAATTACACTAAACCCCTAGTAACTTTCAAAATGCCTTATGATATTGCTTTTTCGTTCGAATGTGTTGGGGTTTATCTGTAAAAATGCGAAAACTTATTAGGGTTTTTCTGCAATTCCAAATGTCATTAGGGGTTTATTGTGATTTTGAAAGTTTTCAGGGGTCTACTGCAAAATGCTGAAAAGTCTTGGGGGGTTTGGTGTGATTTACCCTTTAGAAACTGCTAATGTAAGGAT